ATAATTGTGCAGCATCTAGGGTGGGGAGAGTAGTAGCCAGTAAGTAGCCACCTGACTTAGCTGAATTTGTGCCAGGGCAAGGGGCATTTGTAGGAGCCCCTGCAGCATACCCACTGGCAATCTGGCTTCCCAACCGTAATCACCTGTGATAAGTTCAGTGAGCACCAAATTCACTTGCAGAGAACCAGTATGTCAATGGTTCTACATGGGTTCAAGAGAGGAAGAGCTGTACTTCCCATCTCACCTGGCGCAGAATTCTGGTTACTCTGGGTGTGAATTTCAGCAGTTCAGCACATGCTGTCCTCTACGAGTGATGCCAGGTGCTCCCATTAAAGCTAAGTGCTCTTCCCACTAGGACTCCCCATAAAATTAGCGTTGGCATTAATGCCAGCTGCTTCTCAGCTGCAATTTTTCTCAGGCTGAACTCAGGAAGGACAGCAAACAAGGCCTCTGAGAACAATATCTCTCTCGTGGTCTTGGGGGTGGGGGGAGGAAACACAAGTTGTTCAGTGACCCATAGCTTGGAATCCCTATGAGCTCCGTGAGGAAGCCCTCAGCTGTGAAAAACACCAGCCTTTGTAAAATACTACAGCCCTGCTGGGGCAGTGAAGGTCCACACAGGTGTATCACGCATACAGGTGTGCAACATCTGTATGCCAAGGGAATAAGACATTAGATCAATTTGTTGCCAAGACCTACATTACTATTCAGTCCTTACCACTAAGAAAAGCCAACTTCACTCCCCTCCCCTCCTTCCAGTGTTTATCAGAAATCCAGCTGGTTTGAGGTGGAAACAACACCGGAGATGCCTGCATTGGCCAGCCTGTCAGCTAAACAAAGCATCACTAGGCTACAGCCCCAGGCTCCAAAGTGTTAACAGAAGTAGCACCATCATAACTTTTAACCTCTCTCTCGCCCCCCCAAATTTAAACCACCGGAGGATCAAGACCTGGCTTTTTTAAAAAAGCATGGTTGATTTAATGATGTGGAGTAAAGTCATCTTGGCAAGGATGGCTCACTAGGGATGATCTGCCAATAAAAAGCCTAATCTCTAACTGGCCCTTTTCACCTACTCTCCATTCCATTAAACATCTCTAGGCAATAATCACAGATTGTTATAGTGCAGAAAGTGCAGGAAAACATGTGGCTGCTGGCTTGCAAGATGAATTATGTCAATTGGCACTAACCTCATCCCAATTAACTCACTCCCTGATTGTGTGAGGGCTCAGAGGATTTTTTTGCTGAAGTTTTGGAGGCTCTGATGCACAACCCACAAACTCCTGTGTTGCCACACAAGGCATCTGACAAAAATTGCTGGGATCTAGCACGGTGTTAAGCTGTCAGTCACCAAGATGGAAGCTCTTTTGTTTGGTTTTACTGTTGTGTTTAGCTAATGAGAAATAGGGTTGAATTGTCACTACGCTCTCCTGGGCAGCAGGGAATATCAGTGCAGCATGGACATTAGGGTGTCTCTTGTACTGGGTTCTGGTACTGATCTCAATAGCATGACCGCCTCTGCATCCACCTGATGGGAGTGTCACGCAGAGGGACAGCATTCTCATTTCCATTTTATATGGGCACTGTATGGTTTCCCTTCTGTCTGGAGAGAGAATTTTAAAATGCAGGTGAAGGGACAGCAGTATTGCAGAACGGCTGCATGCTCAGTACTGTCACCTGCCCCCTGCCATCTGAAGAACCCAGCTGTCTACATGGGTCATTTTTAATGGTAGTTATAAGAACTTTAAGTACTTAACACTGCCATTTCTGACCCTGCCCTCTCAACTAATTATTGTTTCAATGCATTTCCTGTGTGCTCTGTCCTGGCTGCTTTTGCCAAGTCTTCTGCTCCTCTTGTTTCATACCAGGGCAAAGGTATTAATGGAATAGTCAACATATGCCTTGTCCTGGGGTTCCTACCTTCCCAGTGGGAACAGAGCCATGGAAAACATGGTGCCTCAGAGGCACAAGACCTATAATTTCCCAGTGTAAAGGGGAGTGAGCATTCCCCGAGGAGTGTAGACTGTGCTCTCCCTCGTGCAGCTGCTTGGCTTTGCCAGCACATAGAAGGGCACTAAACTAAGGGCTTTACCTCTTCCCTGCTGCTCCAAGGGTTACCGTACCCTGTAGCCCAGGATGTGCCAGCAAGGCCTTCATTTATGGTTGGTTCCAGCATGAGCAAGACAAGGAGGAGGCAGCTTCTCATACTTGGTCTTTCTCACTGTGGTTAGTCTCAAACTAGCTTTATTATCAAAAGGGCTATCTCAGCTTCAGGCCCTGACACTAAGGGTGGCTGAATACACACAAGTCCTCCTGGGATGACTGGCTCAGCCTTTAAAGAGATCACAAGCTGGATGCCAGTACAAAGAGAGTAATGGAGGATTTGAAAATCAAGGCAGTGCACCTAGTACACTGCAAACTAGTATTTGTCTTGACACAGAAGCTTCATCTACACTCATGCAGCCCTTCACAGTACAGACCACTGCACCCACATGTGTTCATTTTTGAATGGCATTGGGTGCCTTTTTGAGCATTGCATGGGCATTCAGCACTGATAACCAAAAATCTCTGACTTTTTCTGAATATTTGGCTGCAAAAGGTACTTAGTGGAAGGGCTTTGGCAGGATTCTGAGTACTGGGCACAGACAGCAGATGCTCCTCAAAAGAGGAGGATTTAGATCTGAATGATTGTGCCAAAGAAAACACCCTCCCAGCCTCTTAGAGATTGGTTGTGTTGTGCATGCTGTGGGGGGGACGCCGGCTGCTTCCAGCCATGCTGTAGGTGGAGACTTGACATGGGAACCTTAGTGCTCAGAGCTTTGATAACCTCATCAGCAGGATCAGTTGTCAGCAACACCACATTATTTTAATATTAAATTATGGGCCTGAAAATCAAATGCAACCTTCTCATTGTTTCTGATCAGTTAGCACTGAATCCGCAAGATGCTTTCTTAGTTAAAACCCCGCTGTCTGCTGTTTCATTGCTCAGAAATTGACATGCAAACTCTTGCTGCCTCAGCATGTAATCACAGGACAGCGATCACTCTTCCTGATTGTGATCACTACTAAGTTGTCCTAAACTCATTAGAAAATTCCTTGAAACAAAAAGACCCCATTACATCCTCAGTAAAGTTTAATTTCTGTTCTGTCAATTAAATGCTATTAAATCTGTTACGTGGAATTGGCTAATTACTATTTTTTGCTAACCCTCTGGTCACCCTCATGATGGGAGTTGACAAGTGAAGTTATAAAAGGGTGGTGGACAAAGTTGCATTCTCAGTGTGACATGGAAAATGTTATAAAAGATCAAGGAAGAGGGTGTAGGCTTATTAGAATAGATTTTCTACTCTTTTCTCCCTGTTTAAAATGTTTTCAAGTGCTGAGTTCCAGCCTTTTACTCATTATAAGTGTTGAATTAATTGTATTTTATGAGCCTTGCATTTAAAATGAATGCCCTCTTTATAATCAGGCGCTTGGTCATTATCTCTCACAATGGCATGGACTGAAATGGAGTTTAAAAATAATGGGATTCCAATTAAGTCCAGGGCTGTGGTGGGACTTTCAAGAGATGTGGCTAAAATAAATACCCTCTGTTGTGGCTGGGAGGGACAGTACCTTGCTGACAGAGTGAGACAGTGTTCGGCGTATTCAATCTTCAGGACATTTTGGGCTTTTTCGGTCACTGGGCGGCTGACCTAGAAATAAATTACACGTACACAAAGTGGAGGTGAGTCAAGCTACCATAGTGAACTCATGGCACAAGTTTGGATGCACAAAGATGAATGAAGCCCCCCCACTAGAGTGTTAGCCTTCCCTCTGTAGTGTTTGTGGGGTTCTCAGTGCTAATGAGAACACAAAGCTCACCATGCCGTGAAAGGGGTGGAATATCAGTAATGCCTGTGTTATGATTTTCTCTCCATATTATTGCTAGTTTGAATATAGATGCTGTAATGATGTGGCGAGAGAGAGAGAATTTATGTTTGGCCCAGGATAAAGATAGGCGATTTTATATATATATATTATATATCAGATTTGGGTTTAAGGGTGTTTAGGTCTGGAGTCTTGCTACCCCTGACATGTGCCCAGTCTCTGGACCTTGTTTTTGTGTAGCTGTAAAACTTTCTAAAAACTTTTGCCTCAGGAGAACATCCTGCTCTACTTTCAGCCCCAACATCCTGCCAGCCTAATTCAAAAATCTGCCACACACCCCTTTAAGTCTCCAGGATGCTAGTGTCCCCCTCTGGAATAAAGACACCATAAAGTATATTCAACTAAATCTTCCAGCTTCCAGCCTTTAAAACAAACAACCCTCACTGATCACATTTACGTCTCTTTATATGAATCCCATAAAACACAGATGCCAAGATATTTCTCATCCTGCATTTGTTCCATTTCTCTATTTTCCTGACTTTCATTGTCAGTCCAGGTTGCACTTTGGTATGAAATCAACATGACAACACAGGCTGAAGATGTGAAACCTCCCAAAGAAGGGAATAAAATATGTGGATTTTTAGAAGTGCCAAGAGTTTCAAACCAGACTGGCAAAAGCTCTGGTGAATATATTGTAGGGACCAACCAGCTGGAGACAAGGAGATGGGAATGGGCTAAATGGGATAATAAATCTTTTCCGTCTCTAGTTTCATGATCCAATAGTATATCTGATTTTGGCTTGCATTATTCATGACCGGCCTGAATAAGGCTGTCATGCTAATTTGCAACCTGTTAGATAATCTTTTATTTGTGTACTTTATATTTTTCCCTTTAAATCCTGCTACAGGCAAGGGAATCCTCAGATAATGTGCCCGTTTTTCTCTTTTGTCAACAGGAAAAGATAAACTAGCAAAGCACTAGCAAACTGTCTTATAAAACTCAAATGAACTTTAATTCCTGGCTATAGAGTGGACTAAACATTACCCTCATTCCGGACACAGCCAAGGTGTTTTTCAGTCGGTATTTGCCGTCCTTCTGGGGATAAGTGTACAGCAGAACATCATTCATCTATATGAAGAGAAAGACAAAATCAATAATTTGCAATATGTCTTGCAGGCCTGACCATTATTCCTTGGAGGGGGGCAGCCTGGAGCAAGCAGCGACTTGATGAACTGCATGGATTTCTATGAAAGACAGGCTTGAGCCACAAAGTTCAGACCCAAATCTGCATTTCCACAAAACTGGTGGTGAGGGAGGGCGTTTGGATTTGAGGTCCTGCACATTTCTGACTGCTGCCAATCTCTAGGGAACAGTCTACTCTTTGTTCAAGGAATGTCCCTCTCTTAAGGGAAATGCTACACATATTTTGAAAAGCACAGTGGCACATATACACCTTGGGTAACCCCATTAAAAGCACTACTGGATCACAGCTGTACTCAGGACTGGGAGAAACAGCAGTTGCTGCCATCCTAGAGCAGAAGGGATTAAATGGAAGAGGTATGCAGACAGCTGTGGAAAAGCAGGGTAGAAGGCAACAAATGTTGCCATCCCCTGGTTGAGGTTGAGGCTGAAAGCATTAACCTCATTCATCTGTGAACAACCTTGCACTATTTCCTGAATGAGGCTACAAGTAATCTGCAATTAGGGCTAGGCCTTGGCACTAAAGACCCTACAGCATCAGACAGCCTTCCAGTCTCAGGGGTCCTTAGGGGAGAAGAGAGTTCAGAGTGGAGATAGTTGCCGTGATCTTGGGGAGTGTGCCCAAATCCTGACTTGATGCCTGTGAGTATGCATGGGCACAGGAGCAAGTTACTGAGAGGTAAATGAGGGCAGGGGTTTACAGTGTGCCAGCGGCTCTACAATAGCTGCCCTTGTGTCTGCTTGCACCCTGCAGTAGATGGAAGCTAACTCATAGTAGTTTATCTACGCCCAGCAGAGAGGGCTTTGGAGGACTATCCTCGGTAGACTGGCACCAAAGGGCTGAGAAAGCTCTGCTACATTTTGTGAAAAAAATCCATTCACTACCTAAAATCTTGTTTTTATGTTTCTTTATGCAATATATTAGATAATAAAATGGTTCAGACAAAATGGGACACACTAATCTCCACCGGTTTAACAGGTCTAGATGCTAATTCTGCCTCCCTTTTGAGATCACCAGAGTGTCGCTGGAACGGAACATCACAGGGAGTTGAGTCACTACCTGCTCGTTTCCTTTGCTGGGCACCTCCCTCTCCTGCTTCCACTTATGCCCTTGCCTTGAAAATGGAAAGTGAAATCCTGTGAATGTTTTCTTAGGAGGTCACTGTTCCTCTTACTTGATGAGAGGGAATAGTTTCTAGTGGTTAGGAAAGGTAGATGTACAGTCGGGACTCCTGGGGTGAAATCTTGGTCATGCTGAAGCCAAAGGCCAAATTTCCATTGGCTTCATTGAGGTCAGGCATTCATATTTGGGCTCTCTTCTTGATGCTGTTCAATTGTCAGCAAGTCAGTTTTCTGATTCCCAGTATCTTTTCTCTAAAAGCAGAATGCTTTTTGGAGCTAGTTGAAATTTTTTCAACAAACAGTAAATTAATTCAGTATTAAGGAAACAAACTGAATTTGGGTGAAATTGGGTTAACAGTTTTGACTGAAAAACACAGGGAAATAAATCCTTGGAGAACATAAATATATAAACATTCATTCTGATATAGTTTAAGTGATTTTTTAATAGCATGTTTAATTTAAAATGGACCTAAATTGAAAGAAGGGTTAATAACCTGAACACTAAGCAAAATGTTTTGTGTTGGGTCAGACGAAATATTCCTGGTTGACACAAATTAATTCTTTCTTTTTCTCCCTTCTGAAAACCACCAAAAAAATGTATTTCAGTTTGACCCAAACTGCATTCCACCCCCCCTCCTTTTTAGTTCAGTTGCCAAACTAGAATATCCAACTCGAGTACATGCTTCTCAGTTCTGAGGCTAATTCACCAATATTTCTAAATCTCTTTGAGTTCCATAGAGTATTATTATTATATTGAAACCGAAACCTTGAAAGAGAAGAAAAGACTCATTCTGTGGTCTCTCTGTTCTGCACTGGAGTATTTGTTCCTCTAAGTGTGAGACAATAGAATTTCCATACAACAAGGTGACAAATGGCTTGTCGTGGAGTTTTTATGCCATTTACTTATTGCTTCATAAATTACCCTCCATGCTAACATCAATCCAATCGCACCGTGACACATGCCCAGGACTGACCGTACAACAATTCCCAATTTAAGCAGAAACTGTGCATAGCCAATGAGAGGAATTAGTTCCGACCTCCTGGAAGGTTAAGGTGGGAAATCCTGAGCTATATCAAACTGTGCTGAGAAACGACTGGAGTACACTATTGTTTATTGTTTGCTTGATGTTACTGGATGTGTAGATCTAAGCTAGTTTCAGCTGGGACCTGACCTCAGCAGACACTAAAATAAAAAAAAAAAAAGAAAAAGATTTGTTTTAGTATTAGCTGCTGAAAATGGCCTGGATTCCCATTTGTGAATTTTCACATCCACCTGGAGATTCTGCCAGGGGAGAGAACATGGCCAGAGAGCTGGTTGAACACAGACCTCAAGTTTTTGAGCGATTACTGGGTTAGAAAAAGAAGCAGTTCACACTGCCACATACTTCAGGGTCATTCCAAACCACAGAAAAAGGCAGTTAATGAAGGGCACTTAAGCAAAGAATATTAGCTCATAAAAGACATCATCAGGGCTTTCCCAGCGTGCATAACTATGCCTCTTTGGCCATAAGCCCTGTTGATTTTATATATAAAAATTATTAAAAAAACCCCATCACACTTTGGTTGCTGTTGGTTAATGCAAACACCACCAGCATGCCTGCGGTTATCATGGGAGCCTGGGTTAGTATCCCAAGATTTTATTAAATACTAACTATGGTTTTATTTTCTAATTGCCCACTGAAGTTTTGCTATGGCTTCTATTTTATATTGAGGAAAATATGGCTCTAATGGCTTTTAAGTCTCCTAGTTTTAACTTATTGCAAGCAATGTAGGATATATGTTTCAAAGCTTGACAGGTGGGAGGCATATACAATGAAAGACCTCTGGGTCTGCACTATCAGCTGCTTTCCATGTGAGGGTCTGCTATGAAGAACTGAGCGATGGGTAATGGGACAGTAGTGTTGTTAGCCAGCGTTCAGCGGGTGCCCGCCGGCCGTGTTTTGATGGCAGCGTTGCCCCAGTTGTGCTCTGTGACACCACTGAAGTTGCACAGCCCCCAGGGTACCTATCCCATAACTCCTCTGCACAACTTCCTGAAGCAGTGGCTTCTAGGAAAGAACAAAAGACATCCTGGTGTCCTTTACGAATCCCAGGGTAACTGTGGTAGAAGAGGACACACTGCCATGATGTCTGGAGAAACTCCTAGAAATCCAAAGGTGTTGACTCCATTTCCAACATATGAGTGATCACAGAGAATTTTTAAATGCCTGGGATTTCTGAACTAACCAGGAAATACTGAGGGTGAAACCAATAGTCCCATCACACACCTCTCAACACACACAAACCATATGCACCAAGTCCAAGAACACATTTCCTGAGACGACTAGTCTTCCAAGAACTAACTGAGCAGGGAGAAAGATGGACACTTCTACTCTAATTAGCCCAAGCAAATTCCCCTATCCCTTAGTACTAACATTTTGACACATCATTGCATTGCAGTCTTTCGCCAGAAACTTCTGCCAGATGTTTCATTGTGCTGAAAGTTTCAGAGGTTGTTCTTTAGGCCCTTGTGCTGCTCCTGTTCAAGTCTACGGTGAAACACTTATTGTTTTAATAGTGAAGGATTGTATATGAAGTTGTGTGTGTGTGGGGGGGGGGGGCGAGGAGGGAGGGGTGTCCCCTTTCCAAATCCAGGTTTTCAGAACCCTGCTATGCTCCAGCCGTTCTGTCTGGAGCGTTAAACAAAATCTCCCAGCCTGATTGCAGCTTCCTCCGCCTCACTTCCAACACAAGCAGCCTTTGTAGAGAAATTCTTGGAAGTGTGAGATAAGAGACAGTCTGAGTCGAAGAGTCCTGCAGTCAGGGGGCAATTAGGGGGCCTGCCAGCTTTACCCGCCTGTTCTGTGCTCTCTGCAAAGAGGCTCCAACATCCGTGTAAACAGAGACTGGACTCAGGAAACAGGCGCCCAGCGAAACACACCAAACATCCTGCCAGGAAACACCAGATTCAACAATACCATTGGCCTACACAAGACACTCAGCACCAGCAGCTTTGCAGGACACACATGCACAGCAGACACCCACTGATATATGCACACGGACACGTGCATCAAATGCCTACATATACACGCTACACATATGTCTATATAAATACCCACCGCACATTGTAGACATATGCTCATACACTCAGATGACAAATATACATACAACACAGATATGCGTACAAAACACAAAAGCAAACACGATCTGGCGCAGACACATGCCATTTTAATTGCATGTTCTAACCACAACCGTTGTGTGGCTTGTTTACTCGGGGACAGAGCCCTTTCTGAACCTTATGTTTCAGCATGTGCTCTAACAGTGGGATTTTGCAAAACCCTCAGCATTGTCTTAACTTTGATGGGGGCAGTTGGAGTAGGCTGCTAATTGTTGGGCTAAGACATGCCATATAATGTGGCATGTCTCAGTGCTGCAGGGTTGGGTAAACTCTCTCTCTACTCATATCTGGGTGCTGCAGGTCAAGGCAGAAGTGCGTTGGCACAGAAGTATATGGGTGTGCATGTCCTGCATTTAGATAATGGGGTGTTGCCCTGATCGGTTGTTTTGGCAGACTGGCGGGGTCTTAAGACTGGTATAACAATGGTGCTATATTTCAAGACTGAAATACAGAAGAAGAGATGCACAGTGGTCTCTTTACTAGATAAACAGGGTAAATAGGCTAGTAAACGCTACTGTGATTTGTGGTGCCATTGCAGACTCTGCAGTGTTACTGGAAAGAGGGGGAAAATACAAAAATATTTGGACTTTAACATAAGAATCACTCCTCCTTATTCATGGGCTACAACTGTAGTCTATGAAGTACTCTCCTCCTTTATCCTCTCAACTCTGCTCTCCAGCTCCTGGGAACAGAAAATTGGGTCCCAGTCCCCAAACTGAGCCCAATGATAGATCATTGCTAACAAGTTTCAAACTGCTTCAAGAACTGATCACTTACTCAACGAGAGGGAGAAGAGCGAGTCCAAATCCCCCTATATATTTCCATTGGTTCAGTGAAGATATACTAAGAAAGAACCCAGCCCTGTATATAAAAAACTGGCTTTTATGTCTAATGTACCAGGTACCTCAATCTGGCCACACCTCAATACCAATCTGGCCACACCTCGCCTTTCAACTAGGAAGAGGAACAAGCTGCCATTGTTGTATATTCAGTAGGTCTATTTAACATTGTGAACTGGCTCCTGCAACATTCCCAGATGCCAAAGAGATTATTATTATTTCAAACCCTGCAGTTAACATCCGGATTTGAGCAGCTGAACCTTCCCCTGAAATCTGAAATTGTTCCTTAACTGGAAATCACTACCATAGAGCCTCTCACAACACATTCATATTCATGTCAGCGCATCATTCATCCAAGCAGTCCTCCTTGCCTCTGCAACTTCCGAACACACCTTTCCTAGTGGGTTGTTTTTTTTTAAATTTAGTTCACCTTGCCTTTTACTCAAGTTTTAAATGACCTTCCTTTCCATGTCTATTACTTAAACTAGAATTTCTCTCTTTCTGGTTTCTGCTTCTCCTGTTTTGCCTCATAGTTCATCCATAATAGTAATGTTTGTGACATCAAACATGAACATAATCAGAGAACTTCTCTTAAGATTTACAAGGTCACTAGAAAATACAACATTCCAGGTATTTTTCTCAATTATTTTAAATTAAATTCTGCAAAGACTGTGTTGTAATAATAATTCATATTTCTGCATTTTTTTTTTCCTACGGAGGAACTCAAAGAACTTACATCCCCTCAGCATTACATCCCCTCAAAAGGCAGGTAGGTATCATTCTCCTCCAAGTCCAGAGAATGAGGTACAGAAGCTGAAGTGTCTTGCCCACATTTACAAATACACGAGTTATAAAGTTGAGAGTAGAACTCAGGGGTCTAGACTCCCTCATCCCTTCTGTAAGTACTAGTGACTAGACAATACTGTCTAATGCCAAAGGAATAAAAATCCCAAATACTAAAAAAAAATAAAAAGACATTAATTTATCTCAACCATAAGACTTAAATTAGAAATTAGGGGCACTTGTACACTTGTATGGGGCAACATCTCATTTGTTTGCACAAGTCAACACATTCCATCTTCAGAGCTACCGAATGGCCCAGCAGGCCCATTGTTCTGCCCAGCCACAGAGCAGGGGCAGCCCTCTGCAAGTTATGAAAAAGGCAACAAGATGATAAAATATCCTTACCAAGAACAAATGCCGAGGGTGCCTGTTCTTCCCGGACACTTTCATCAGCGTTCCTTCTTTAACAAACTCCTGAAGGAAGGAACAGGAACATCAGTAACATCCCTGCGAATGTTAATCACCCTTCAAAATGAAGGGTTGTGTTACATGACTTCACTAAAGGAGATTTGAACCCGTGTGTCACTATGAGTCCATAGGTTTATGATACGATAAGTTTAGGTAGTATTTGGAACAGCCGATTTCGTTGTGGCTCTTTATTGTGCCAGTGCTATGTGTTGAAATTAGAATGCAACTTGTGAGGGGCAGGACAGTTTCAAGCTTGATAAGCTTTCCCACCATGCCTGCATAGGTGACTGGTAGGGGGAGGACAAGGAGCGGGGACACGTGCCCCCTGACAGGGCCATCCCCTGCCAGTGACACCGCTGGCGCTTCTGCGAGTGCTTGCCAGCCCTGTCCCCACCACCAATGCCATGGTGGCTTCTGTGGGTGCTTGCCAGCCCCATCCGTGCTGCCAACCTCACGGTGGCTTCTGCAGGTGCTCACCAGCCCCATCTCTGCTGCCGACATTGCCGGCGGCTTCTGTGGGTGCTTGCCAGCCCTGTCCCTGCTGCTGATGCCACCATTGGGTTCTGCAGGTGCTCGCCAGCCCCGTCCCCACTGCCACCGCTGCCACCTGCTTCTACGGGTGCCCCCCCAGACTCAGGAGGCACCAGTCGCCCATGGTGAACTGTGTTTATACAAGTGGTTCTCAATCTTTTTAGACTCATGGCACCTCTCAGAAAATGCCAGCTTGTAGTTTTCTCTTGTTTTTTGCCTATAGAAAAATAATACAGCAATTCTTCGGTTGCAAAGAACTCAGAAAAGCTATAACATGTCAGAATGTTTTAACACTGGATTCCTGTTTGAAATCTCTGAGTTTATCTTGTGAATTATGCTTGCACACCTAACAGTGCTAACAGTGTGTGGCACTCTGTGGCACCTTTGAAAGGATCTAAAGGCACCTCAGAGTGCCATGGCACCCTGGTTAAGAATCACTGGTTTATACAGAGGTGACATTTGTAGATGGCTGGGCCAACACTCAACAGACTTCCATTAAATGACATTCATCTTCTAAAACACCCTGCAGCAATGAGTATGGAAAACCAAAAACCAAGAGAAAATAGACTGCAAGAGTCTTGAAATCACAGCATCTCCACATGTAGCATATACATTAAGACATTACCTAATCAGAGATGGTGACAATCCCAGAATGGTAGAGACAAAGCAGGCTAGAGCTGCAGTGGTGAGGTCATGAGATAAGTCAGGATAGTAGTGGTGTGAATATCTTGAGGGTTACACAATAATTTTATTTAAGATACAGCGGGTGCGTCTACATGAGATGCTGACTGTGCAGTAGGTTGATACTACTGCACAGTAGTCTCACATGGCAAAAAAAATGACGTGACACTACTGTACAGTAGTATTAAGCTACTGTGCAATAGCATCACAAAAAAAGGCATTTGCCAGTGCTACTGCACAGTAACTTGGGTTATTATGCATGTATTTAGTACTTGTATAAGGGTGCTTTCAAGGATGCTACAACAAGTACTAAATAAATGCACAGTAACGACTGTGCAGTAGCGTCTCATGTAGACATGCTCAGTGAGACTGAAGGGAGCTATTAAGCTGTAGGGCTCATGTAAGAAACATTGTTAGCAGAGGGATACAAAGGAGCTAACCTGTATGGGCTTGAAAATGAGGAAAAACAGCTTGAATTGATGTCAGAAGCAAAACACAGCTGGAGAAGGGATTTTAATGCGTGAGATCTGTGTCTGTGTTTGTACATGCACGTGTGATATAAACACACACACAAATGGTATAGTACACAAAAATACCTCTAGGGAATGATAAGAATAATTATGCTGAAAAATCATTTTCCCTCATGTAAGGCTTCTCCCCCAGCCAAGTAAAACTCCAGTCCAGAGCATCCCCGCCCCCCAGCCAACAGTTTGGACCTGCCAACGTTAAAAAATGTTAAACAAGGATATCTGGGGAGAAAAATAGTGATTCTGCTCAAGTATACGGTGCCAACCGAACTCTGGGGGTAGCTAGCATGGAAGCCAATCTTTACTTTGATTACAAGCAGGGGCAGCCTCTGCCTCTCCTAATGAGCAGGACTTGGCGTGTCCATCTGAGCACTGGCTGAGTGACAGCTTTTTACACAAACCAGGACTTTGACTCTTATCAGAGGGGCCCAGTCGACAACACCTGTAGACACCAGGGCTGAAATCTCAATCCCCAGGCAGACAGAAAGAAAGCTGGTTGAAAACAATGTTCTTATCAGAGCTGCAGCACTCACCCTTCCTGGCTGGAGGAGGTTGCTCTGCCCCCTGACACTGTGCTCAATGTGTACCAGCTTCTGCAAGTTTTCCTGAGAGACAGAAAAAGAGAGTCAAGGAGGCTGAATGGTGATTGTTCTTTATACACGCAGACATCCCCACCCCACCGGTCCTCTAAGAGATAACATTGACATTCAGCAGGTGGGTATCAAATGTAGGCAAGGAGAGTTGTGTCTGATGGGATTTTAGGTCCAGACAACCTGCTGCAGCCTAACAATTTTGTGGAGTCTTATCTGGCTGCTTCCCCACTGAAGCCCACAGCACTTCCCTTTACCACTTCCCTTCAGGAAAGCCATCCCGAGTCCCCACCTATTTCTTATATATTAGGCTCAGTTGTAACTTCCTCCCTCCACGAAATGGGAAGCTGGAAGATGGAGGCAACATCCACCAGCCCCTCCTAACTGCAGTTGCTCAAGCTCCATGCATTCCTGTGCTTGCCTGGGTTACCAGGGTAATTGAGAATATGTCTTTCTGGTTTTTTTAATGCTTTACAACCATTGCTGGGATTATCTGGGGTTTTACATTCAGTATTAATGGATTTGCACCAGGGGGTCTTAAGAGGTTAATGACCAGACACTTAATGAAGCCAGATCTCCCTTTCAAATGCTCTGCAAAGATCATGGAGCTCATTGCCAAAGGCTGATACTATTAATTGCTTACCTGACCTGAGCAACACAGAAACAATCAATGAGCATTGCACACAGTGCACAAATTTAGCCCTCGGCATGGTGTTTAACATTAATCTAACCCAGCCTAGACTCCCATGAGAGAGAGTATCAGATGGCACATATATAGGCTGGAGAAAGGGATGTCAGTACATTTACAACATTGGTAAAGAGCCTTTTAATATCTTTGGCTTCCTTCCTCTGGTCTGAGGTGATGCCCTGCCCAGCCCTGTTTCATTTGGCTGGCAGCTGGTGCTGTTGGCTCAGATAGCAGGGGAGCTGGATGACAGGTGCAGAGGATTCAGTTAGCGTTTCATCTGGCTAGTACCACAACATGAGATTGAGAGTGGCTGCCCAGAAGCAGTGATGAGACCTCACTGGGGTGCATGCAGGTCAGGGACCTAAAAATTAGGACTTTCCTGCCCAAGGTTGTTGCTTTGAGCAAAAGTCTCAGTTACGTGCCCAAACAACCTGTAGACAAGATCATCCTTATGCAGGTCACTGAAAACACCCCATTGTCTAACAACTCCTTTCTCAGTTTTTTGCCATAGGTTGCTTTTCCTAATCTCTTTTGATTGGCTTTGTGGTATCCCTAGGTGGAGTCTGACTCAATGGGGTTGCATGAGTATAAATGAATCTCTCGTGTTCTTTATATTTCTCTACAGTGACTCTCCAATGCATTTTATATTTTGTTAATTATTGAGGAGGAAGAGCTGAGTTGAAGTGGGGGCTCTGCAGCCTAGGCAGAATCAGAGAGAGGCATTCATTACATATCCTGTAGTCTAGTCTTTCAGGTTCATCAGAGTGTCCTGAAAATATTTTGGGCTGGAGCAATGTTATCATTAGGACTGGATAAGAAACAAGAGGCACAGACAGAAGTGACAATTTCCACCCGATTTGGTTCCTGAATGTGCTCTATAGCTGTGACCAAACACAAGCACACAGCTGTAGAGAGCTTTAAAAGGACCCTATCCCATGACAAACTGAACTCTCATTGCATGAAGGTTTGGATGAAGATGCTCTAGCACTCTCAGTAACATCTGTCTGCGCGCACCAGAAACAGGGCTGAGCTGATGCACCTAAAGGCCTCAGTGAGGCATCCAAGGGCCCCAATGTTACGGCAGTTTGTAACTGATTGTTGATATATTTTCCAGACTTCCAGAGCTAGTCCTCTTTTCACCTATGGAGCAGGCAGTGCACACTTCTCAAGCACTGCTTTCTCAAATTGACTCAGCTCTGTTTGTTAGTGGAATCTCTGTGAGTGAAAGAGGTTCAGCTTCCACGGTCCATTTAGTCTTTAACTTCTCTCTCAGAAGCACTAGCAAAGGTGCCAGTTATAATATTGATCATTATGATGTGGATACACATTCACAAGGAAATGGACTGAAGAGTACCAAACTCATTTATCATGGGAGGCTGAACAGCTATCGGATCTGAATGCCTTTTTGCCCTAACTCTGTCAGGATGCAAACAGCATCTGGAGGTGAAAGATTCTGTAGTTCATTACCAACCTCCCAAATCATTTTGTGTGACCTTCTCCAAATGCTAATCGTTCTCCTTAGTCCAAGTGAAAGTGCAGAAGTTACAAACAGCTCCACCCAATTAGTATTGCAGACATAGAAAGTCAGAAATCTATATCTGGCTAGTTTAGCTCTGAACTACTGCTTCCATAAGGCAATGAGGTTATTATCATTTCATCTATGCAGGTGACCAAGTTCCCCGAGGTATTCACTAGTTGTTAATGGCAGCTATGATTTATAACTCATAGCATCTCAGGGCCTGTAACATATTGTAGAGGTTAAAAGGTAATACAGACTTTTCTGAGTTCAAAGTGGGGAACTCCTCTTAGAGGTGTAGATGTCTCTAATGCTATGTGGTGATGACTTACTATGTGCTTCCTGTTTGCCCATCAGTAAAATATGAATGATATTTTCCTACCGTGCATGAATATTCAGGGTATTGGATGAATACTAATTAATATTACACAAGTGCTAATGAATGTATTATACTATATTTGTCATTTTAAATATATTAGAATATATTATTATGGATTAGTATAGTAGAACAGTACATTAATATTGATATTTGTAAAGCACCTTACAAGTCCTACATAATAGTTGTTAGGGGAAACGTGCTAAACTATTGTTATGAAGCATTGACATTGGAAGCAAACAGCTATTGCGGTAATCCTTGGGGTTCTATAGGAAACATAGGCTGTAGCTCCTGTCAGATTTGGGAGTGTAGTTTATGAATAAGTAGTAGCCTGACTCTCTCTGCTATATTCAAGCCTAAATCATGGCCAAGGAATTCATCCAGGTGCCAAGTTATTAATGTCTGGACTGACTATGAGTCTATTCTGTAATTAGTGTCAGCTGTGAGTAGCTCAGCATTGAAAAGCAGTGAGCAAGAGAAGAACGGAGGAGTGTGGACAGATATGTGTGCATGGGCTAGTCTAGCAGGAATAAAGCTTCCAATTGCCAAGGATGTTGAAATTCGCTTCTCATGAAACTTGTCTCTACACAAAAACAATTTACACAGGTGGGGAAGTAGGAAGTTTTGGTTAATCTTTCCCAAGCCATTTGTTTCAAAAGAGCTGGGGGCCATAAAATGCAGATTTGCTCTGCTTATACGTTCAAAATAAGTGCATGCTTCAAGGTGGAATCATGGATGAAATGGTTCCAAACCAGACACTTGAGTACCAGTCATTGCACGGTCTATCACTTCTGCAAACCCCAAAGGGTTTCCAAACACTTTAACAAATGAAGCCCACTGCTATGTCCAATGGTGAAGGAAAGTGGAGGAAATAAAGAGCCAGTTGCATAGAAGCACAGTCCAACGCATTAAAATCTGTACTTGTATTTTTGAAAGAGTTTGCCTTTCTCATGCTAGCTTTGACTCAATAAGGTTGCTTTTGTAAAAGCCTTCCCTCCATCAGTCCTAGCATAGGGAAACTCATGGAGGAGGTTACTCTTGTTGTTAGGTAATTTTCCAAGAAACAAAGGGCACGTCTATACGTGCCCCCATGATGCACTTGGTACTGTGCCATCATTCAGTACTTGCTTTAGGAAGTACTCCATGACAGCACACGGTTGTTTTTAGCAGTTATGTCGCCATAGTGAAGCGCTATAGTGAGGTAGCTTGTTGCTGTGGTGACATAGCGGTGGCATCAAAATTTGTGTCCACCAATGCTACATCGCCATAGCGATGAGCTATGTTGCCATAGTGTGTTGGTACGGTGACGTAGCATCACGTGTAGACGCGCCCAAAGAGGATAATACCCCGGTCTGGATTTCACTGAAAATGGGTCTCACAGTTGACACTTGACCCCAAAATATGCCAGGCAAAGTGATGTCATATTAGAGGCGCAGTTTGGGATCCAGGAATGCAGGAGGCCTACCTAACTGCAGGCCGAGACTGCAATGAGACTGTTTTGTTCTGGTGTATTTGAAGAGAGGAAAATTCAGTTCCGACCCCTGTTCAGAGCTCAGCTCACTCAAAGACAGGCAATTCGGAGCTGAGGGTTTATGGTTAGGCTTATCAACAGAATCATGTCCTGGATCTCACTTTTACCCACACATGGTCTCTGGTAAGGTTATCATATTTCCATTTCAAAAAAGAGGACACCTGTTGGGGTGGTGGTGGGAGGGTAATATGATTGTAGAGGGGCCGTGATATGCCCATGCCCTGCTCCTGCCCCTTACTCCCAAGCCACAGCCCCTCCCAGCCCTACCATTGCCCCTCACTCCCAATCTTCAGCACCTGCTCGCCTCCACTTCTTCAAAGCAGCAGCTCTCCCCTGCACCAGGACACACGTCCAGTTGCAGTTGTCCCCCTTGCTGCTTTCTGGCTCTGAGCAGTGCCGCCCCCGCTGTTCTGCTCCTTGTGTCTGTTGGCAGCAGTAAGGGCTGGGTTCAAGTTTTGCAGGATCCTAAATAAGTTTATCTTTGGCTTGAGCCCCCACCCAAAAACCTGGGACAACTAGATTTAAACTGGCGTGTCCTGAATAAACAAACTTCTCCCTTGCAAGCAGTGTACCAACAAAAGCCAGACTTATTATAAGACAAAAGGGAAAGAAACACAAAGTACAACCTAGAGCACTTTTAAGCTCTAAGTTCTATATAGTCCAGCCCCACCTGGGTTTTCTGCTCTCCTCAGCCTTGCTGTGGCCCCTGCTCCCACTGGGACCTCCACTTCCCCTACAGTCCTGTCCATAGTCCACCAGATGTTACCTGGCCACTAGCAGACTGTCTGCTCTGTCTTCTGGCTGGGGCTTATAGACTGCTAGTCCTACCCCTAGAGGGTCATGTAACTAGCCTAATTGCCAGCTGCTCCCCCGTATCCTGGCTCCTAGAACCTGATTCACAGTCTTTAGGGTGGCTTATGCACTCTTTGGCATCTTTTCTAGACTTGAA